AAGATTGATCTTTATTAGAAGGATATGAGGCATGTTGATGCCAAAATAAAAATTTTACTAGTGTTATTTTACTGTTAACGTTTGTATCTATTATGAATTGTGATCAGCAAAAATTTTCAATAGTCACATTACACTAATCAAAAGTCCACTATGCTTCTGTCCTCCCAAAAAAAAATCACATCAACAAAAAAACAAATAAATAATATTAGTGTACACATTTGTCGATCAAATAACAATTCTTTTATTTTTATTTTTTTAAAAATTAAATAAAAATATTATATCAGGAAAGTTTATATAACATTTTTTTGTTCAAATGTTGGCAAACTACAATATCCTACAATGCATGGGAACTGCTTCACTTACTGTGAACCTCCCTTGATCAATGCTTGGAAAGTAGGCGTCATGCTCCTGCTAGGATCAGCTTAGCACATGAGATTGGCAACTTCTTCCTAGGATCATTATGTCTATGCCATCATTCATGTGGAATTATACATAGAGATCTTAGGAAATATAACTTTCTTTGCAATTTTGATGATTTAAGTGAAAATTTCAGATGAGATTGGCAACTACTTTAGGGAAACAAACTATTCAAAATGGTGCATCATAGATTGTTTAGATTCTATTGAAAAAAATTGTACAATGGTGACATCTGAAAATCATGAGGATTATACATGAAGTCGAAATTAAAACCCCAAAGTCGAAATGTTTCAACTTGAGGCAACTACATAGTAAAAATCAGTTTCGACCTTATTTTGACCCTATTTCGACCAGATCTGCAAATGGTTGAAATAGTTTTGACTTCATGTATAGTGAGGATATCATAGCTGAATTTAAACATCAGCTTCAATTAGCAAGTACATATTGTTCAATAAATAAAAAGGCATGGGATAAAACTACAAAACTTTATAATGATGTGGAAAGAATTTTCTGATTCAAAGAGGCTACAGCAGTTTTCAACAGAATAGATAAAAAGGTAAGAAATAATTTATTAATTTGTATTATTGATTTACTTGCAAAAAAAACTATCAGGTTTACAGGCAAATGAAAATTTATTTGAAACAAAAACTAATCTATATGGATCAGAAGTTGCAGTACAAATGATGGACATAAAATTGAGCTCTCTTCAATCAGAAATAACTTCTTCAGTAAGCAGTCATTCCACAACAGATTCACTGAACATGACTCTGAAAATTCCTTCAATGTTAAAAAAAAACATCAAATGAAGCTGAGGTTTGTTTATGTTACTATCTTGAGACAAATTGTACTTTGGGTTACTTAATAAGTTTTTCTTATTCTCAAGCATAACTCCATGAATCCTAACAACAACCAAATTGTTTATGATAATATACAAATAATAAGCACTCATGACTAGAGTTTGTATTCATGAATATCATAAGAGGGTCACACAGGGTCACACACTATTAAAATCAAGTGATCAACTCATGTTTTTAAGGGATTTTTTGCTGTTTTAATAGTGTGTAACCCCCTTAATGATATTCATGAATAAAAACCCTACTCATGACCAAGATGTAAATAATCCAGAAATTGATAATGTTATTGTTGATAAGGTATTTATAATGAGGACAGTTTTTTTATTTTAACATAATCTTTTAAACAATATTTGAAATTTCCATTACTATTGCAGATATCAGATTTGGTATTTTCCAATTTAAATCTTGAGGAAATTTGGGATAAAGTTATGGGAAGATTAATTTGCGAGTGCAGTATGTTATAGTAATGATTTGTAACTGTGTGCTTTTAACAAATAATATTCATTCTCCCACTCAATTACTAAAAAAAAAAATACAGGTCCATTGAATCACAAATTGTAGACATATCAAATTGGAAGAAAGTTATTAGGGTGGAATACTAAAAACATCAGATTATGCTCAATTGTTTAATGGATCAAAGGGGAAATTATGTAAGGATTTAATTGACAAGGAAGTACAAAATTTGTTACATGATGGATGTGGCCAAATAGTAAGTTATTTTTTTTTTGTTTGTAGTTACCTTGCTTATAACATATTTATAGATTATTATTGTATTTTATAGAGATCATTAAATGATTTAAAATTATGGAAAGACAAATTCTCAATTTTAAAATCTGAAGATGCCCAATTAACTGCTGGAGTTATTGAATTTTTGTAAGTTATGGTTGAACATTTGAATGGAACAAAATGGAAGTCATTGGATTGTTTTTTATGGACACTAACTGAAATTTTATTTAGCCATCTCTGTTTACAGAGGGAAGTAAACATTCTTGTAATGCAACATCGGGAAAGAGATTACATTGTCAAGATACTAAGCCCAATTATTGGATTCATATTTGAAGAACTTGATATTGGCACTTTTGAGCTAAATTGGTAAGTGTCAAAATTTTACATTGCAATGATCTTCCAATAATATCAACTTTTAAAATTTTTTAGGATTGAAAAAGATTACATGTAGAAAGCAAAAATTTGTACATGAAGAATATATGGAATTAGAACCACCATTGAAAAAGATGGATTTAATAATATCATTACATTCATATAAGGTTGAATTATTGGCACTTGAAGCAGGGAATACAGAAGGTCCCATGGATGATACCAAGTTCTGGCAAGATCATTCTAAAATCAAAATAGTAATGAAGAACTGTCTTGATTCCTTTTTGGAATAAATTGCATTTTAAAAAAAATGAACTTGAAGAGGTCTTTGTAATGGGTAGGGTTTGTATTCATGAATATCATAAGGGGGTCACGCACTATTAAAATCAAGTGATCAACTCATGTTTTTAAGGAATCTTTTTGCTGTTTTAATAGTATGTAACCACCTTAATGATATTAATGATATTCATGAATAAAAACCCTAGTAATGGGCATTCAGATTACAGGTATGTGTAAAAATGCATCTTATTTATTTAGTGCAATTTGTTTTTCTGCTAAAATTTTTCTTTGGTATAGGCACAAGGTGGACGATCTATTCCCTTGTATACAATACTTCAAAAATTTTATTTTTTTACTGAGATGGTGACATTGACATTGCCAACAATTTTATCTGAGATGGAAGACCTTTTGCCAGATTTCTTGGAAAATCTTCTAGCATTACAGGTATATATGGCTATACATGATATATTTACCTTTCCAATCATTCCACCAGTGTTCATATTATTTTGATATTTATTATTTAGCATACACAAATAGAACTGGATGCAAAGATTCGAAAATATTCTCAAAAAAGACTCTACTCCATCTCCACTTCATCACTATTGCACGAAACTACAGTGTCTCTTTTGAAAAAAACAAAAACTAAGGAAAGATCCTTTTTGTATCTTAGTCAACTTATACTAAATAAAATAAATTAGTATGTCACTTGACAGCTCATTGTCTATTGCTATTGTTATTGTTAGTAGTGTTATTACTACCACTACTGCTACTATATTGCTACTCCTATTGCTATCGCTACTAAAGGCACTCACTGTAAATGATTGGATGGGTAGCTACCATTGACGTAAATAGCTTTTGGTAGTTACCATTTGTCATAATGACTGTGATTGCCGTGAATTATTATAATAATATGGTATATTCATTACCAGTAATCACTATAGAAGAATAGCTAGTGATTAATGTAAAAAGAAATTACACCATCAAGACTTTCCAGCAAATATTTTTCTTATTAATATGTATTCCTTGTATAAATCCGCGTTTATTCAAAATGGTGTTACTTTTTCACTTCAAAGGTGAAATTATTTTTCAATACTGTAAAGTCTCGAAAGATAGCACTCGTGATGTTGCCTTTTATGGTTAGATTTTTCATTTGTCACGTATAATTTGTTATTAATATGTAAAATCATGATATTATTTTAGTATTGCAATCGAGAAAGCTCCTTTAGAATATTTAACCAATAGCTTAATTATAATATAAAAGAGCTATTGGTTTATTAAATTAAGCCAATAATTAACTAAAAAAATAGGATTAATATTTGATAAATATTGACACTTTCAATATTTACCAATAGGCTTTTAGAATATATGATAAAATACTGAATATTATTTTATTTTTTGTAACACAAGATGTGTAACATGTAAATAATAAAAATTTTCTTGGATTTTTTTTTATATCAATATGGGTGAATTTGAAAAGGTAAATTAATAAGTTTACTCGTGAATTAATTTTATAATACTAATATATCTGATTTTGAAAAAGGTTGTTATTATTGATGCTAAAGGACATTTATTAGGACGCTTAGCATCAATTGTGGCCAAACAAATTTTAACAGGTCAAA